GGAAAGGCCTACTCCAATTGTCTTCCTCGTCAACCTGCAATGATGCGATGTGGTACATGTTAGCTCGCCAATGATGAAAAACGGTCCGTCCAAGCCTCCAAGAGTAGGGATTTTGTTGCCGAGGTTGAATGGATACTTCATGTATCTCTCTCACCAAGCCGCAACAAAAAGATAAGTGGTTCGCCACCCATCATTATGACACCATGTGAATCTTCGTAGGAATATCAAGATCGCTGGAACTTTCTTGAAAACCCGCGAAGAAAAAATATATATTTTGGAGCCCTCGGTTACATAGCACAACGTTTCTGCTTCTACGGATACTCTACCAGTGACATAAAGTTCAGAGCCCTCTCCAATTTGGATGGTGAACACAAGTCCTCAGCAGTACAAGATGAACAACTTTACATCCAAAATCGAGCATCTTCCACTAGAGCGAGCGAGCACAACTTGTGAAGGCATCTAAAGCTTTTGTCATCACGTCCTTGTAAACCTGCATAAAAGAGGGAAAGAGGTGCCGGAGTCTAGGATGCTAAGTGCACGAAGATTTTTTTGGTGCTCTAGTTGATCTCTATGGAGTTTAAGGGCTACTCTAGCGTCATACATCCCTACTGCGGTATTGTCTCTGAATGCTTCGTCGTCATTGAAAAATTGAGTTAGCGGTAGTATCAAGCTTATCATGATTGAGCATGTGTCCGTGAGGCCCGCGAATATAAAGCTCATGACTCTTTTGTGATCAATGTGGTTGTGGCATTTCTTTATAATAATGTAGTTGCAGATGGCTCGTCCATGGCTTTGAGTAATCTGCTGTTGTTTAGTAGTAAAATCTACAAGAAAAACAACAATAGAGTAGCACGTCAGGGGGAGTAAGGCGGAGGAAGCAGAAAGAAGCAAAGAAAGATATCAAATAGTTTGCCTGATACTTAGCCAGATATTTTGAGAAATAAGGATTTTTTCTGCTGGCTCGTGAGCCATGATAATCCTTTACTTTTTATGTGTTTTGAGGGTCAACTCCTGTCTATTTATAGAGTTAAAAGGACGGTTGAAGTGTTTGGATTTTAGATGAATTCAGATTACCACCTTGCTAAGTTTATTACTGTCACAATTTGAAGTGCAAGAGGAAACAGTAATTAATTTCTACATGAACTTTATATCTAGAAATCATATTCTCCTTATTCAAAGAGGGTAACGAGGGTCGTTTAATTAAAAGCCAAATTTTGTGCAAATTAATTGTGCCCTTGTCCAGCGTGGATCTGGATGCTCAAGATTCTGTGGAGTATGACTGTGGAGTGTGGACGATTCTTCACTGTGGAACAAGGTTAGGGCTTTTTTTAATGGGGTGGGGACAGATTTGGGGTAAAACGAAAAAGGGTTTAAAAAATATAAGGGCAATTGTCAAAATTATCCTTCAATAGATTAAGTTCCATCAGGCGTGGGTCTTGGTTCTAAGGCGAGTCTTGCGCCTAAGCTTGCGCCTCATCTCTTGGGGTGTGCGCCCAAAGGATTTGCGCCTCTCATTAAAGCTCAGATGCGTTTACGTGCGCCTCGCCCCGATTTACGCCCCAGGACTCGCGCCCCTAAAAACACTGAGATAGATAAGTTAATTCAAGGTGCAAGCTGGTCAACAAGCTCAAAATTTTAAACGGCACCTACAGTAACTCCTGTTTTCAGCCAATATAATCATTTTATTTTTATGTAATTACAATAATACCCTTTTAACCCGAATTACAACTGGATGCAGCTCAATCTTTAACCGGAGACAGCTCTCTTTCCCTCTTATTAATAGTAGGAATATGTAGCATTTAGCATGTTGAAGAAGAATTAACCACTCTACTTTTGTGATACAAAGACTCTAAGAAAAGAAGATTATCCAAATGAGCGTCTACTTTCATTTCACTGTTCTACCTCTGATACATGGCAATTCATTTTTGTCTACCTGAGTAGGAAATCATGACATAAATATAATGAAGTAAATGCAAGAGGTTGTTGAGCATCAACGGCATCGTTTGCTAGAACTCTTTTTCTGCTTTGCTTTCTCAGAACATATGAATGAAAAACTCTAATTGCATCTCAGTTTAAAAGAATGTCTCTCACTAAGGACGATATCTTCCACGAAACAACCCATTCCCCTTGGAATCAGTTTTCAGTATCACTTTGCAGTATGTTCTCTGTTTAAGCCATTGCAGTGCCAGGCAGAGTCTCTTTTATTGGAATGTTCGACTTGATTCTCAAGGGCGTATAACTATCTTTTTATGGGAGATGGTTTATCAAGAATTAACTATGATATTTTTGGTGATGTTGTGTCTATTGATACCACAGATCAATAAACAAGTGTCGCATGATTTATTGCAACCATTTATTGAAATGAATCACCATTGGCAAAATATAATTTTTGTTGTACTTTTTGTCTGATGAGTCCGTATAATCATTCAAATGGTTGTTATAACTGGTAAAGCTCGAGGAATTTCAATTATCATTAGAGAGTGATGTCTACCACTAGACATTGACTATGTCAATGGAACATATCTTAGAATCCATCATCTCGTTTGCCCTTACCGGAGAATGTTAAAACGCGATACTGTAATCACCTATCAAGGTGAAAAATAATGAATTCATTTATGATTGTTTAGGGTCTTCATCTTTCTTTTTTCTTTTGTCAAAACAAGAATAAGAAAATGCTTTGAAAAAATGCACGAACCAGTCAACCAGACGTGCAAATTTGATAGTGAGTTAATGAAGAGGAATAATAATTACTTATACAAATCACTGGCTGGCTAGTGGCTAATAGCCTGTTTGGCCAAGTTTTTTTGGGCCAAAAGTGATTTTTACATTCCTATGCCACATAGGAAACCTTATTACCCTCAATATTTAAGGTTTGACTTAGTTACACTTAGTATACCAAATTATCAATTCTATACCATAATTAATTAAGGGTATAATTAATTGTACATTTTTTACTCCTTAATTAAAGGAATCTGCACGTTTCTCTCTCCTAACTCCTCAGTCCCACCCACGTTTTACCCATACCCACGTTCTTTTTACCATTTTCCATCTTCTGAAACCAAATTCTCCCTCTAAATTCACAGAAAATTGAAGAAACCCTTCAACAAAGTTGGTTCCCCCATTTTACTCCAGTTGAAGTTCATCAATGAAGAGCAACAAAGTTCATCAAAATTGAAGTCAAATCTTCAAAGTTCATACACACATTTACCTTCAGCTTCAAATTTTCTCAATGAAGAAGAACAAACCTTCAAAGAGACAAGAGAGCAGCAATTCCACCATTGACAGTCATTAAAAAGCTTTGAAGCTTTGAATTCAAATTTGGGTTTTCAAAAATCATTATTTGTTTTGATTGGGTGTTGTTGAAAATAATTGGGAATATGTTTTGGAGTTCATATCTCAATTTTGAGGGGTTTTGGTGAACATTAGACTTGGTTTTGACTGAAATTCAGATTGAAACTCGAAGAAGAAGAATAAAAAGAAGACATATTGCAGAAATTGTAGATAAATTGTAGACTGTTTTTTGCAGAAGATTTTGTAGAAGTTTTAGTCGTTTTGGATTTGTGAAAACAGAAAACAATGCATCTACAATCAGAATACAAATAATCTACAATTTATCTACAAAATATTTACAAACTGGATACATTGAATTTTAATATCCCAATTCCCATTTCGATTGTAGCATAATTGGCATTTTCGACATAATTGCGTTTTTTGCAGAAGATCTGTAGAAGTTTTAGTCGTTTTTGATTTGTGAAAACAGAAAACAAAGCACCTACAATTAGAATACAAATAATCTACAATTTATCTACAAAATATCTACAAACTGGGTACATTGAATTTTTATATCCCAATTCCTATCTAATTGTAGCATAATTGTGATTTTTGACATAATTACGTTTTTTCAGAAGATTTGTAGAAGTTTTAGCCGTTTTTTATTTGTGAAAACAGAAAATAAAGTATCTACAATCAGAATACAAATAATCTACAATTTATCTACAATTTCTGCAATATGTCTTCTTCTTCTTCTTCTTCTTCTTCTTCTTCTTCTTCTTCTTCTTCTTCTTCGAGTTTCAATCTGAATTTGAGTCAAAACCAAGTCTAATCTTCACCAAAACCCCTCAAAATTGAGATATAAACTCCAAACCATATTCCCGATTATTTTCAACAACACCCAATCCAAACAAATAATGATTTTCGAAAACCCAAATTTGAAGCTTTCAAGCTTTTTAATGGCTATCAATGGTGAAAAATATCTGGAAGAATATTTACTTACATAATTTTAGCGCGCCTAAATAGGAATATCTGGAAGAATATGATTTGATCTGATTTACGCCAAATCTTTTTAGAATATTCTGTTCCTCAATTTTAGCTCGACAAATTAGGAAGATTCGGCTACTATTAATTATTTAATGATTGGTATAATAACTGTAGAAAAAATATGGACAGGGCAGGTAAATTAGAAACTATGAACATTTTTGGTAATAAGGTTTCATATATGGTATAGGAAAGAATAAATCTCTTTTTTTAGCCAAAAGCACTTTTGGCCAAAAATTGAGGTGTTTGGCCAAGCTTTTGGAAGGAAAAAAAGTGCTTTTGAGGAGAAGTACAAGCAGTTTTGGAGAAGCGAAAAAAAGTAGCTTCTCTCCAAAAACACTTTTTTGAGAAGCACTTTTGAGATAAATACACTTAGAAGCAGTTTTTAAAAGCTTGGCCAAACACTAATTACTGTTCAAAAGTCTTTTTTAAATTAATTAGCCAAATACAAACTGCTTCTTACCAAAAGACTTTTTTCAAAAGTACTTTTAAGAAAAACACTTCTGTTGATTTTAGAAGCTTGGCCAAACGGGCTATAAGTAGAGCAACATAAAGGACTTTTTTTGCAGCAAAAGCGTAAAAAAACGAGGACTTAAATGGAAGTTTCAAAAAGTATTTGGGCCAATTTCAACTCTTTCAAAACTATAAAATGGCTAAAATTCAGTTAACGCCGTCTTTCCCAGTTATTGACGAAACAAACTACACCTTCTGCTCATCTATAAGCATAAACCCCGCCGGAAACCGGACTCCCTCGCCGGGAACCGGAAACCGGAAACCGGACTCCCTCACCGGAAAACATGTCATAGGTGTCTTCCCTGCGGTAATTGAGGTAAATCCTATATTTACACTAGAAATAGTTTGGCTATTTCGAGTAGACTATAGGCATAAAACTTCGACTGAGACTTCCATTGTAAAAGTTACACCTTTACAAGATATTGACTTGTGCTTAAAATGTCGACTCAAAAGTTTTACCAAACTGTAAAACAACTTTTTCCCAAAAAACCGAATGAAGAAATTGCCAAATTGATCTCCAATACCCTCATAAATTTGAGGTCTATTACGGAAATTCCTCCTCTAATTTCCCAGCTTAATCCCCAAGTAATCCATCTTGTTCTTTCAAACCCATCTGTCCCTACACAATCTTGCTTAAGCTTCTTTAAATTCCTCCAAAAAGACCAATCTTTGACTCACCAAAGACCCAATCTTGAAGCACATATAGCCTTGGTTTTGCGCTTGCTTGAATCCAGGAAGTTTGCTGAAGCCAAGAATATATTGCATGTTATTGCTGCTGCTGATGGTCTGAGGAAACCCTTTTCAGAAATAGCTTCTTTAGTGGGTGAGAATCATGTAGAGCACAAGGTTATAGGGAAGATGTTAGATATGTTGTTTAGGGTTTATGTTGATAATATCAGGTTTGAGGAAGCTCGGGAGGTTTTTGAGTATATGAGGAATGGTGGGTTTGAATTGGATGACAGATCTTGTATGGTATACTTACTTGCTATGAAAAGGCGAAAACGATATGACTCGTTGTTCGAGTTTTTCGAAAAGATGGTTGAGTATGATGTGAAAATTACGGTTTATACGATGACAATGGTTATCGACGGGTTGTGTAAAGTGGGAGAGGTTAACAAGGCAAGAAACCTCATGGATGAAATGATTAGCAAAGGGGTGAAACCAAATGAGTACACTTATAACACATTATTAGATGCTTATGTGAAGAAGTCAGATTTTGTGGCTGTGAAAGAGATTTTGAGGACAATGAAAAAGGATGGTGTGGATCTTGATGTGACAAGTTATACACTTCTGATTGACGGGTATTCTAATTTGGGCAATATTGAAGACGTTGAGAGATTGTTTAGAAAAATAAAAGAGAAGGGAATAGAGCCAGATGTGCATTTATACACCTCTATGATTAGTGGTTATTGTAAGTTAGGTGATGCAAAAAAGGCTTTTTTGGTGTTTGATGAAATGGTGGAGAGGGGCCTCGTTCCGAATGCTCACACATATGGGGCGTTGATAAATAGCTTGTGTAAGGCTGGACAGATGCAAGCGGCTGAAGTTTTACTTAATGAGATGCAAAGTAAGGGGATTGACGTAAATCGAGTTATATTTAATACAATGATGGATGGTTACTGTAAGCAAGGTAATATGGATGAAGTATGGAGGCTGCAGAGAGTTATGGAGGGCAAAGGACATGAGGCTGATGTATACGTTTATAATATAATTGCTACTGGGTTGTGTAAGTTAGATCGGCATGATGAAGCAAAGACGTGGTTGTTCTCGATGGTGGATCGAGGCGTAGCTCCAAATGAAATTGCTTATACGACTTTGATCGATATTTATTGCAAGGAAGGAAATTTTGTTGAAGCAAAAAGGGCACTTCGTGAGATGGAAAGTAAGGGAGTTAAGCCTAATACGGCAACATACAACGCCGTCATAGATGGTTATGGCAAAAAGGGTTTGATGAAGGAAGCATATAAGCTAAGAAATCTAATGGAATCTAAGGGTCTGAAACCTGATGTCTATACATACACCTCGCTTGTACACGGGGAGTGCATATCAGGGAAGGTTGATGATGCTCTGAAACTTTTCAATGAGATGCCTATAGAGGGTTTAGCTCCGAATGTGGTGACTTACACAGCAATCATTTCTGGCTTATCAAAAGAGGGCAGATCAGATGAAGCCTTCAGATTATATGATGAGATGATAGAGGCAGGCCTTACGCCTGATGCTACTGCATACTCTGCTCTTGTGGGTAGCCTTCATAGTTGACATTTATCTAGTGTGAGAAGTTGTTCTTTAGGAACTTGTAAGTTGTAAGCTTCATGTAAATCACATTTTAGCAATTTGGAGGCAATAGCAGACTGTTCAATACATCCTCAAGACATTTTACATGAGCACATTCTGCAGAGATTTGGCAGCCTGGCTTTTTGCTTGTTACTGCAGGTCTGAGTGTTGTCCGTGAACATGGTCTGCCATAAATTCAAGGTTGATATTTATTTACGATTCTAGATAGAGCAAAAGTGCTGCTTAGATTTAAGCTGCTTGAATTTATTTCATGGTTTTAGCACAATGAGCTTACCTGGGAGGATGATAGGCCTATGATATCTGTACGTATCCAGTGGATTTAAAGTGTCACAACCTTCTATTTTTTTTAATCAACATGAAAGACCTAGAGTTGTTTAGGCAGCTACAGTCTTAAAATATAAATTTTGTTTTGTTATGCGGTCATGTTGAGAAAATCGCTTGCTTGGTGTATTATTTTAAACTTTGAAGGCATTTGGTTCATAATATTTTTCTAGTTTAGACGTTTATCCTTTAAGCAATATTGCTTCCTTTGTTGTCCAGTACACCATTTTCGTGATAATGGAAGAACCAAAACAAAAGAAGTGTGTCACCTTGGAGATGCTGGTGGAGGATAGCAAATTTGTAGGTTATGTACCTTTTTTGGCTGAGTGCCCAGTTCTATTCCTTATCAATACCAGAGGCAAGTTCTTACCAAATGCATGATGTGGTTATAAGTCGGATCATTCTTGTACAACAATCATGTGATATTAATTGTCAGTTATTCTCAGAAGGAAGAAGAAAAGAGAACATAGTGAGTTGTGTTTCTTGTACCAGATGATGGAAATTTTAATACCAGAGGTGAAAGAGTAAATTTCAAATAGTTGGCCTCTGAGACAAAAACCTATGATGCACTCATTGCAATCATTCAATCTCTGTTCTTTATGCATGATAAAGTGTTGACATAGTGTGATAAGTCAACTGTCAAAGTTGCCGACACTCTGCTGATAATTGCACTGGCTTCCTTGTTTTTTTCCAGGCAAGCAATAAACTGACGGTATATGCAAGTTTCTTGTACTTGTTTTCGATATTCTAATTTCGTACCTGCTGAGGCAGATGCTCCAGGAGGGATCATAACCTTTTTTGAAGCTGTCTGTAACTGTCGAAAGAAATGAAGGATGAGGTTCTGTCTGTCCATGTTTTTTGAAATTATTTTATAATTTTCTGGATTTTCTTTGAAGTGGAGTTCCTCTCACGAAACACTTAAAGCTCCAAATTGTCCAGATCATAACCTTTTCTGAAGCTGTCTGTAACTCTCTATACACGTTTTCTTTTTGCACAAAATCTTCTCTTTGAAAATCATTTTCAAGAAACTTTTTCCAAGAATTTTCCGAACACCTAATAGCTCCAAATTTTTAGCAATATCATGGGGGTCATCTTATGTTATAGTATTAGCTATGAGATATCTTTGTTACCATTTGAAAAGACAATTTTATTGCCTATTAAGTCTCTGACTAGCTATTTGCCCCTCCTAAGCTTCTCAGGTTCTGTAGTTTGATGAAGAACTAATGAAGCTTGTGGCATTTCACTGTTTGCTTCAATTTGTGTGCCAATATGCAAAAATATTTTGCAGTATGAAATGTTCTTTTCTTGAAAATCATTTTTTTCCCTTACTGTGGTATTTCTCTGCCCCATTTGCACTGCTTTCATTATGCTTTCATAGTGAAGTGAGAAAAGAATGTTGCCTTTTGGAATAACTGCTGTTTGTCTGAGTATCTTGGCTCTCTTTGCAGATTCTTAGTGATGAGAAGAAATGTTGGATATATGACCAGGGTGATGGACATTGACGACACTGGTTCAGGAATGTGAGCAGGATTAAATCCATTTGGTGGAGGGGGGCAGCTGTTTATATTTCCACTTTGAAAGAGGGGAGTTTCCTTGTAAAGGATTCGGCGAGTGTTCTGGTAGTGGATTCCATTTTTTACCTTGATGGAATTTGTCTTCATGCTCAACTAAGATACTTCAGCTTGCTTGGATCTGAGCTATTTTTTACCTTGTTGTTGCTGCTTAACCAAGAAACTCACAACCGGTGTTTATATCATTGTGATGTGACCAACTATAAAGCGAGGGCAGTACAGTATGCTCCTACAGTCTTCCCCTTGAAAAGGTTTTGTTTTGACGGTATCTTTTCAGTTTATGAAATACCAAGTAGCAGTTGATTGAACGTAACAAAAGAACCCTGTACAGGACGTATAACAGGTTCATTTGTAACTATCTAGGCTGGTATATTCTGTAGCAGATAACAGGTTTTATATTATTGAATTGATCTTCAGAAGTCCAGTGGCCAAAAAAATGCATATCAAGTACTCCATTTTACTGTCCATTCTGTGGTACTTGTTTACATGATTTCATATAATTTCACTGCCGCAAGAAAGAACAAAGTGAAGTTCTTCAATCCAAGAGACTAGAAAGTGAAGCAGCAACTTTTGATGTCTAGCAGAGGTGAAGCTAGAAAATGGGGTACGGTTTTACACGAGTTCAGTAACTTTTGCTTAAACTCTGTATTTGTATTAGGAAATTTATTAAATATTTAATTATGCAATCAAAAACTAAGATGAGCTATGTTTCAGTGACAAGTATAGAATTCATGAACTTCAAGTCCTGGCTCCACCTCTTAGAAAAATATGGCATTGATGCTTTACTGATTCAGATTGATGGAAACTCAGCGTCATTATCAAATCCTCCTGAAAATTTTAGCTCATCTACTAAAATGATTGTACTATCCTGTCATGCATTGACATTGCAAAAAGATAGCAGATAACAAAACAAATGTTTTGGTAGATTATCATTTATTATCTTACATTACATTATAATCAGCTGTACCAAGATATTCTCGATAGTGACCAATGCAGTTGCAACTAAATTAGCCTCCTCCTCTCCCACCATTTCTATGAGTAATGATTTATGGTTCTCCGGTAACTACATGCAACTTGTAATATAACATTGAGGAGTGTGGTGGGATAAAGGAGATCCTTTCAACTTTAACTAGAGATCTCAGTCTCGAGCCCTAGGAATGAAGAAACTCTTGGTAGGGAGATCTTCTCTCTTTAGTGGGCCCTAAGCAACACAAATTTGGATTAGTTGAGTCAGTAAGTTTCAAATACCGGACGCGTAAAGAAAAAAAGAAAAAAAATAATTTTCACTAGCTATCTTACCCACGAAGGGGAGCCTTAAAATTGTTGTCATGTGACTAGGAGGTCATGGGTTCGAGTCGTGGAAACAGCCTCTTGTAGAAATGCATGGTAAGGCTGCGTACAATAGACCCTTTTGGTCCGGCTATTCCCTTGACCCCGCCCGTAACAGGAGCTTAGTGCACCGGACTGCCCTTTTAGACTATTTTACCCTCCTAAAATCACAAGATAAACTGAATGGTAACTACAAAGGAATTTACTTCACTTTCCCCGACCGGTTTTTTCACTTCATAAGCAAGCTAGCAGCTGCTTTATAACAGTACAGAAACATATTATTCTCAGCTCACCTTAAATTGCTCCTTTTCACCTGACAATTTCTTTCATCCCTATACCCCACAAACTTCTTCCCTAAACCTTATCACATCTTTTTTGTTTTCTTAATTAATTTTAGGGCAAGAAATTCACCCCCTCATTATAAAAGTGGAGCACATTCTCCTTCTCCCTCCATCTCACAACTTCAAATTAAACTAAATCGAGAAAGAAAAATGAAACAAATATTTGTGTCACCTCTTCTTTTCTTGCTCCAATGCAGTTGTATTTTCACTCAAGCTCCTGCTATGTCACCAGTGCCGCCAGCACAATCGTCTGGTCCGGCTTCACTGCCTCCAGCTCAATCTACTCCTCCGGCACCAATATTGCCCCCTGCTGTAGTCTCTGCTCCGGCTCCAGGACCACCTGGTCCACCAAATGTGGTAAATATCCTTGGAAAAGCTGGTCCATATTCGACGTTCATCAAGTTATTACAAATCACTCAAGAAATTGGCGAAATCACCTCATTGCTAAACAACTCCAATAGCATAACCATGTTTGTTCCATCGGATGGCGCTTTTTTGAACCTCAAAATAGGTACCCTCAACTCTTTCAGCGATCAGCAGAAAGCTGAATTAGTTAAATTCCATATTCTCCCTTCATATTACTCCCTATCACAGTTCCAAACTGCTAGCAACCCTTTACATACACAAGCTGGTGGAACCACTAATCGCGAATTCCCAATCAACATAACCACAAATGGAACAGCAGTGAACATAACAACTGGAATTCTGAATGCGAGTGTGTCAAGTACAATTTACACTGATAATCAGTTAGCTATTTATCAAGTTGACAAAGTGCTTCTTCCTTTGCAATTCTTTGTCCCACCAGCACCAGCACCAGCACCTGCTCCAGTTCCATCAAAGCCGAAAAAGAAGGATCCTTCTTCGGATTCTGCCTCTGTTAATGTTGTTTCGTCTGGTGCTACTTCACTTCTTCCCCACATGATGTTTCGGGCGATGGTTTATCCTGGCTGTTTCTTCTTCTTCTTCTCTGTTTGGTTTGTGTGTATGAGCTAATAAGTCGCGCGCAATGCCTGTACGCTTGTGATGTTATGTTATGTACATTTAAGTGTAACCTAATAAGATGTTAATTTTCGTGTGTACTCAAGCATGCTTTTGTATGTTTATGTTATGTTTTAAAAGAATTTGAACATTCACAGAGAACCTTGTTAACAGGTAATTTACATGATCCTATTCCCTTTAAAGGAAAGAAAGAAAATTAAGGAACTGTAAAATCAAACACAGCACACTTTTTATATCTCCTTCGTCTACAAGGTAAACATCTTAGCTTAGTGCACAACGTGTTCGCTACTACACTAGCTGGCCTGTGTATTGGCCTTGTTGTAAGAAGTCCGAAAATGATATATCTCGCGACACCCCAGCGTGGCTCCATATTAGAACAGAACTTTGCATGTGCAAAAACATTCCATTTTGCAGCGCTGAGAGTATAAGTTACGGATGTGTTTGGCTATTGGCAATACTCAGTAGATATTGAATTAAAATTCAGTCATGAAATGTGAAAAGAATAGAAAAATGTGTTAATCTATTAAATGCTATTCCCAACTTCATCTATATGTGTAAAAACTGCTAAATGACCTTTCCAGTGGCCAACAGAATTAACCTATAGGGAAAGCTTTTCATGCATATTAAATTTCTGTTTAACAAGTAATAGTACTGTAAAACTCTCTCTTCGATTTTCCCCTCCGAAAGTTGAGGTAGTAATTTTCCAAAATACTTACACTAGGAGGAGAAAAACCCTTGATCGTTAAAATTATTCAATATTGTCCGTTCTTCTTGCTTCCATTGAACTTATCTAGAAGATTAACCTGAAAATTCCCCTAAACATTGACAAACACAAGCACATGTTACAAAAATTGACTGATGTAGAGAATACAGGTTTGCAGATATAAAATTCGATATGATCTTGTGGTAAATTCAAAAAAAGATAAACAAAGAGATTAAATATTAGAAAATACTAATTGATGACCATGCACTTTGTAGTCTCTTTAGAAAACATATGGTAAATCTTTGATTAAAAAAGATCTTTTCATACACTCTGTATCCTGTTTAATTTCTCTGTTTCAATAGTGTTGCTTTTACCACGACTATGAAATGTATTATACCGATAGCCTGTTTGGCCAAGCTAGAAAAATCAGCTTATTTTGACAAAATTACATCATATATCACTTGGGCCATACAGCCCATCCGAAAATAGCCTACATTTGAAGCCCTAACCTGGTTTAGCCCAGATTGTATATGTTTTGAAATTTTGTTTTCACCCGGTAGCCCATAAATATTATTAACGGTTTTCGCATTTAAATTTTTTTTTCTCTCTCTTCTTCTCACGCTTTTCTCAGAGAAGTATGAAGGCAACCTTCCTCCATTGTTGGGTCTCAAGTAATTTTTCGAGCTTTCACTCTTCTTTTCAGGTAACTTTCGTTTCATTTTATGCTTTTACTACAGTTTTGGTTTTAAATTTTGTTTTATTTTTAGTTTTTTTGCTTTTCTGATTTTGAATATTTTTTTTACAATGTTGTTGTGTTTTCCGTTTGATTTTGTGTTCCTTCTATCTTCGTTTTGGGCCTAAACTTGATGTTTCAGTTTGCATGCTTTGTTATTTCGAGTTTTAGGGTAGAATTTATTTTTTGAGTTTTGTTACAATTTGGGAAAATTGGCCTCTGCTTTGTGTTCATGGCCTTTGTTTTTGGTTTGATTTTTGTGTTTTCCTTCACTTGTCTTCACTTTTGTTAAAGCTTTGTTTGTTTTATTGTAGAAAATGCGTTCAAAAATACCTACTTCTAAAAGTCGTATGAAGGTTGCTGGAAAAGGTGTTAAGCTCGATTTTGCGAAAACATTGAGGGACTTGCCCTCAAGCCCTGATTCTGAAGCAAATGTGCATGTCGAGGCCCCCCGATGATGATGATTTTGAGTCTCCTGCTCCTCCAAAAAAGTCGCAACAAGAGAGCAGTCGAATGAATCGTTCGCAAATGAAGAATACTCCTACTCCAGTTAAATCATTGAGGGACTTGCCCTCAACCCCTGATTCTGAAGCGAATGCGCATGTCCATACCCCCGATGATGATGATTTTGAGTCTCCTGCTCCTACAAAAAATTCGCAATAAGAGAGCAGTCGAATGACTCGTCCGCAAACGAGTAATACTCCTACTCCGGTTAACATTGTTAGAATAAGGAGTAAGAAATGTGGGAGACATGAAAAATCCAAAGAAAAGCTGAAAGTTGATTTGGTTAATGAAGATGATGAAGGCCCCAGTGTTAAAAAAAGAAGAGAAAGATCGAGGTCGTTAAGCATAAAAAGTGCAAGATCAAGGACGATGGTGAAAGTGGTCTTGATTGCATTATTGCATATCCAAAGAACAAAGGATTACTACTCGCCGCAAATTGAATGAGCGAAAAGCTAAGCTGAAGGTACTCCCTTTGTTGCTATTAATTTTATACATGCTTATACAATTTCATACAAAGTTATACAACTGTTTATACATCTTTATACAAGTACTGCTACACTGATTTATACATGTTTATACAATATTTTAGTATAGTTTTTGTTCCTGATTTCTTTCTTGTTATTTTTCCATATGCAAGGTTAGAGACTTCTATATACAATCAATTGATCATTTCCACAACAGGATTAGTTCCCATACCGAGACTAATATTGTCAGCATTTTGAAGCAATGTTTGACTGACACGCAGCTTCAAATGTTCCGTGCTAGTTGTTTTGGCTACTTCTTGGACCTGCCTCAATTTAAAATTCAAAATCAACTTATTCATTGTATACTATTGAGGGAAGTCGTCCCAGGGCGGGAAAGGGAGTTGTGGGTTAAAATTAATGGTTGTTTGCTGCATTTTGGCATTGGAGAGTTTGCTGTTATCACTGGTTTGAAGTGTGTAGAAGACGACGCCACTTTCTATGACAAACCAGATGTCAATAGGTTGCTAAAAGAGTATTTTCCAGGAGATGGAAAAAGGCTATAACGAGGGGGCAGCTTCTTGATCGCTTCAAGAAAAAGGACTGGAAGTCGGACGAAGATGCGTTCAAGATGGCCTTGATGGTGTTTGTCCATCATTTCATATTCGCAGATGCCAATAATCATGGTATCAACAAAGATGATTTTGATATCATTGAAAGTGGTCAATATCAGACGTATGCTTGGGGAAAAAAGTAATTTGAAGATATTTTAAGGACAATGAGGGACAGACAGTGTGACTATTTGACAATGTATAGGCTTGGAGGTTTTCCACTTGCATTACAAATATGATTTTTTGAGTGTTGCTCTATGGTTGACAAGCATCTAGCTGTTCGCGTTGGCACAAATGTGCCACGCATTCTTAATTGGAAAGTGACTGAAACTCCAACATATGCGGATTTGACTGGCGGGGTGATCATGTCTAGTATCGACAAGGTAAATATTTTGTACCATAATACTTCTTCATATATGATTTTAGATATGGAGCAACAGTCTAAACGACCTTATCCTCAGAATACGGAGCGACAGCCTAACCCGAGTTATGATNAATCCAGTTTTTCTTCTTGTAGTTGAACTATAGGAACCTTTCCCCCTATCCGTGAAGAGATGTCAACTCTGAACATCGACACGCTTTTTGAAGTTAATGCCGATGATGTTGCATCAGGGGAGGTGCCTGTGGTGCCTGCCTTTCACACTGATGATTCTGTCGCTGCATCTCCACCTTGTCCTCAGAATATGGAGCAACAGTCTAAACGACCTTATCCTCAGAATACGGAGCACCAGTCTAAACGACCTTTTCCTCAAAATATGGATCGACAGCCTAACCCGAGTTATGATCCTTTGGTGCGCTTTGATCTGTTGAATGCTGAAGTTGAGAAGTTGAGGAGTGCTGTTGGAAAGGTACTGGACCTTTAGCTTTTCTGTAGTTTATCAGTACTTTTTGTATATACATGGTTTTTTTGGTTATAAACATGGTTGTTGATTTGCTTTTTTTTTTTTTGTATTTGACTGATATAGTGACGACACTCAACAATTATGTAGTTTCTTCCTTTGAAAAAGTGTTCAGTTTTCTGAATATGAAGGAAACCAAGCAAACGAGGGAGGATTTTACTGATTCTAAGGTAATTGTTTACTGATAAAACCAAATCACTCAACAGTTATGCATTCTCTGAATTCATCACTCAACATGCCTTCTCTTTCTATTGTTTTTTATTAGATTCGTCAGCGCGTGTCTGATGACAATACATCTGGTCTTGGCGAATTTGATGGCTATCAATATGATGTTGTTCCTGACTTTGTCAATCAAGTGAATCAAGATAACGTGCTAGCTGACGAGTAATAGCATTCAGCATTGTCTTTTGGCATTGTCTTTGTTGAAAGTTTGCCGAAACGAGATTTGCATCTCATGTTGTCACGACTAGTCATGTTCATCAAGTGAAAGCATTATTCGAAAGAATGGTGATGGATAATGACTGGAGAAAGTTATAAGGGAGATAAAGTGATTGAAGCTAAAGCGCGTGAAATAAAACTCTCTTGTTAGAATGACGAATGGTAGGGTAAAATTGAGTACTTTTTAAAGTTCACGGAACCAATTATGTGTATGCTTAGAAGTGCCGACCTTGATGCTCCAAAGTTGCATCGTGTTAATGATATGTGGGATACAATGATCGAAAAGGTGAAGGCAATTATCTTTGAGTAAGAGGGGAAGGATCTTATTATTAGGCAATCGGACTTTTTCGATACAATTCAAAAAATTCTTGTTGCTCGGTAGAATAAGAGCAACACCCCTTTACATTGTATGGCACATTCATTGGTACCAAAATATTACCACGAATCATGGCTTAAAGGAGAAGGCAATGGGGTTCGAAGGCTTGCTCCCAATGAGGACAGAGAGATTTCGTTAAATAGGGTTAAATGTTACCAAAGATACTTTAAAGATTCAAATGATCTAAACCAAGTGTCTTTGGATTATGGAGCATTCGCAAGTGGGAATGGTTTTTTTTAGTGAGCCTCGTGTGGTTGAGGCTATGATGTATGAGGAGCCTCAATCTTTTGGGCTAACCACGGTATAAACGCTCCACTTTTGCAAAGCTTGGCTTACAAATTGCTTCCACAACCGGCTTCTTCTTGTTGTTGCGAAAGGAATTGGAGCACCTATTCGTTGATCCATAGCATCAAAAGAAACAAGCTAAAGACTTCAAGAACCGAAGATCTAGTTTTTGCGCACTACAATCTCCGATTGCTTTCTCGTCAAAAAGAAACATACAAGAGGCCCAAGCAAGTATTAGGATGTGGGTATGTCTATAATCTATGTTTTCTTGCTTTTATATTTCCTTTAGAATTCCTTTCATATTTTTAAGCATTTTCATTTTAATTTAGCTTTAGGTGAAGATCGTTCTGATGTTAATGAAGCCGCCNTTTTGTGAAACTTAACTACTCAACATGACAACATATGTAATAGGAAGTGTTATGTTTCCAACTATTTATTTTGGTCGATTCCTACATGTTTTTCTATTGTGACCACTTTGTCCACACACAGAACATGAAAACACCCTCTTAGACTCTTTTTCTGAAGCAGGTTTGAGTCTTTCCTTTCTTGGCCTTCCTGCATTCCTTCTCCCTTTAGGTGGTAGGACCACATCTTCCAGCACCTCTGTTGGGATTATCCATAAACTCTCATCTGGCAGCGGATTCACTAGAAATTCATAAGTTCTAAGGAGGTTATCCTTCTTGTAGTAAAAAGAGCAATACTGGCCAGGTTTCAGCTGTTGGTTCTTCAAAACCGCCCAAGCATGTGGACATGGAAGTTCATCCATTTAAAATTTGCCGCAACTGCATGTTCCCTCTTCAAGGCACACTATGTTTCGCCTTAACCCTTCAAGCATAGTATATAATTGCTCCGTAGCAAGCCTCACCTGCAAAAGTTTTTAAAAAAAAAAGTTAAAGCACATTATACATTATTATACAGAGTTATACATCCTTATACAAGCAGTAAAATGCAAGTCAGCTGTGCCATGCATCATTACATTTGATTCGTTTTACCATCATTTGCTCCGATGCAATCAGATTTTCCCCAAAGAGTTTTTCGTACTTTTTGCCAAGCTCTATAGATGTCTCCATTGCACTTTTTCTGTTTTTGTTGTTCCACTGTTGTAGCAAATTTGTCATGTACTCCAGCAATCGCATTACTGGTAACTCTCTAGCATCTTTGTTTGCTACATTAATTGACTCTGCAATATTGAAAGTCATTACCATCGACCTTTTCACTTTGGAGTATACCTTAGACCACCTTTCGTAGCCAATTTCGAACAAGTAAGGCTGCACCCTCGGATCAATTTTGCACATCTCTGTCATATGGTAGTCAAACTTCTCTATCGTGTAAGCTTTAGCCAAAGCGAAGAAGATATCATTCAATTGTTTGTGATGTTTCTTGAATGTGCGCTTGACATTCTGCCACAAGTGAAACATGCAAATACAATGTGGTACTTCTGGGTACACAGCTTTTGTGGCATTGAAGATGCTTTCATTTCTATCTGAAACTATACACATCTCTTCCCTAACACCAACATTACCCTTTATCTGGACGAAGAACCACTCCCAAGATTTATTATTCTTTGAGTCTACAATTGCATATGCAAGTGAAAGGATTTTTCCTGTTAATACAAAATACATATTAGGATTCAGATTATTATACAAATCTTATACACGAATATACAACTTTATACATATTGTAAATTTTATAAAAATAGCAGCTCTAAAATCCTATACACGTTTATACATGAAACTACAACATTATACAAACTGCAGAAACAAGGTAGATGCAGTCAACTCACCAGCTTCATCCTATGTGCAAGCAGTCAATATGGTACCCTTATATGCTGCTTTAAGGAAACTTCCGTCAACAACCATTATCGATCTGCAATGCTCCCCAAACCCTTCGATAGTATGTCATATACCCGAAACACTATGCATA